CAGCTAAAGCAATCACTATGCTCATAGGTGTATGTCCCCAGCGTACTGCCGGAAGCGTACCCTGGTACGGTCCGGTATACCGGAACGTACCCTGGTCACTATTTGATATGGTTAGGGTTAGGGTTCGGGTTTGGGTTAGGGAGTAGGCATAGGCGACTCCTTAGACTGGTTAGTGGAGTAGGCGAGGTACGGTCCGGCATATTAGATAGTACCAGGGTACGTTCCGGCAGTACCCCGGGGGAAATAGACCCTCTCAGCATCACTATGCTGCGTTTGAGTTTTACGTTACTCATGAGGTCATAGATCAGACTTGTCATTTTGCTTTAGCGTCGACCGGTGTGTGGTATAAATTTCACAACTAATAATGTACATTACATGTCACAGGAGTGAGCAGGATTGGTCTGTGTAGTGTAAGCTAAACGTTGCTAATATGGAAACATTATACACACGTGTTCCTCACATTTACCATGATGTTATATAACGTGCTCCCATATTAATTTGGTATTCAATATGACAGATGTGCAGTGAAAATTGTGTATACCACTAGGCGTGGGTGCTAACAAGGAAAGGGATGTACCATCAGTCATGATGCTATTAAGGAAAGGGGTGTACCGTGAGTTGTGAGTGCTAACAAAGACAGGGAAAGAAAAAGAACTCATGCCCTGTGGATGGACATGTAGTTGTAAAGTTACACTGCCAGTACAAGCCTCTCTACTACTGTACATGTGCAAAATGAGACATAGGGGAGGAGTCGCAGAACATTCAATATACAGACACACACAGATAAATAAATAAATAAACATGTATATATAATAATATATAATATATATATATATATATATCTATATACATGCATGTATAAACACGTGTGAATATATATATGTACCCAACGGGGTACAACTGGTGAGTTCTGTGGCCTGAATATGCGGCTGCTATGTCTGCTGGCACCAGCCAGATGGTCAGTACGTGGCAGCTGCGCTGCTCCCCCCCCCCTACCACCACCACGATGCTCGCCCCCTGCTGCCTCCTCCCTCATTACAAGCAGAGGCTGGGGGGCCATGTTGTAGCTGGCTGCTGCCAGTAGCAATGCAGCAGTGCTGCGCAATCGCTCGCTCTTACAGCACTGGTGGAGGCATGGTTGTGGCTGCGTATGTGCGTAGTAGTGTTATCGGGTGTAAATATGTTGTTGTTATTGATCGGCTGCAAATGTTTCTCTCGCACAGAAGCAGACCAAGTGTTTGCGAGTGTTTCTCTCTGGCAATGTTGCTGTTGACGTCACGCAGGCATCGTTTAAGGCATTACCACATTCTGTTGCTACAGAAAAATATGGCACATCTGAGATTCATCTTTCCAATTGAAAGTACTTTAGTAAGAATAAAGGCAGCAAACGTAATGAATCATTTAATAATTAAAAGCCTTAATTAATTAAATTGGTAGAAATGAATTAGTAATGAGATGCGTACGCACTAGCAGTGTTTGTCAGTACAGCAGGCATGCTCATCTATAAACAAGCCTTTGGCAGTTACGGGGGTTGAATAGGATTATCTGCTGTTCTCTGCCATGCTTCCTTTGTTACATTGTAATCCCCATGCTGTGATGGCTTTGGAAATCGCATTCATAGATCGTTATATCTATATATAGATGGTATCTCTTCAGTTCTTTATTACTTGTTTCTGTTTGCTGTGCAGATGAGGAGGAGACGTGTAGAGAGAGCAAAAGGATGAGTGTTCTCTTCAAGGCGGCAAGTCTAGAAGAGCAGGTATGCTGTTGTTTACCTGGAGATTTATTACACGCGTTCATAATCGCCAAGTATTTCTCTAGTCTCACATTGTCACACACACAGCATTGTGTGCGAGTGCGCATCATTCAGTCTAGCATGCGTTGGTTGATGGTCATTTTGATGTTAATTTGGCTGCGTACATGTCCTGTTGCGCCTCACATGGCAATTACATCAGAATGCATACAATCTCTCGTGTCAGAATGACGTTTAAATATTTTATGATGCTTCGTCATATATCGCATGTTTATTCCACCAGATGGAGACACTGCAGTCAACAGGGCTCACATTGTCTATGGGGAAACGGCGGCAGCAAACTAGTGCCATGCGTAAGGCATTGAACGAAATGCAAACGGAGGTTCAGGATGCAGCTCTGCAAGGTAAGATTACATAGCATGAGAGTGCAGGGTAGGGCTACGTAAAATGAGAGTGCAGGATATGACTACATAGCGTAAGAGTACAGAGTAAGACTATCTAGCATGAGATTGCAGGGTAAGAGACTACATAGCATGAGAATGCTGGGTAAGGCAGTGTAGCATGAGTGTTTAGGATAAGACTACATATCATTAGAGCACAGGGTGAGACTACATAGCATCAGAGTGTAAGATAAAAGACTACACACAGCGTGAGAAACTAGCGGTCGCCCAGTCGCCAGTGGCGATTAGAAAATCTACCGGGCGACTGCTTGCTTGTGTCAGCTGGTCCGGCGGGGCGACTATACACACACACACACACACACACACACACACACACACACACACATATATTGCTGATACACATAGTTATATACATGTATTTACTATTAGGTTTGATAAAAATAATCTTTTGGATACTGTACAACACCCATGCCCATGGGCCATGAATGTATCACGTAGAAGCATGGTACGGCTACAGCATAGGTGTTGTAGGGCGTACACCTCCAATCCCTCTCTCCTGGACCCCCATAGATTCTCTCCTTTCCCCCAAGATCTCCACCTTTCCTCTTCTTCCTCTCGCTCCCTCTTGCCTCTTTATTCTTTCTTTATCTTCCTCTCTTTTGCCTACTCTCCCTAGTATTGTATGTACATATCCCTATGTGACCATATATAGTATTGTTACACCTCTAGTACATGACATAAACCATATTGCTGCAGAAAGTGTTCCGTTTCACTCTTCTTTTTCATCTCCTCTTCTTCTTTTTCTTCTTCTTCTTCTTCGTTTTTGTCGTCGTCTTCTTCTTCTTCTTCCATTATTGGGTTAGGTTACTCTGAGATATACTTATCTCTAAGTTATTCGACAGCTTTTCTTTAGGTATAAGATTTTCAAATGTATGAGTGTCAGGCTGTGTATTGACAATTTGACATTAGTCTCGTAAGCTGGTTGGGATAATGTAATATATGGTCACGGTGGTACAGTGCCCTTTATCTAGCACAATACTACTATATCACTGCTAACTAAACTAATATTAAAATAACAGTTAACTTTAGATTATGCATTGCCTAACTAAAGCAAAGACATGATATAAAAAAAGAATGAAAACAGTTTAGGCACCTCGAAACTACTTGCACTATGCTCCACGGTGTAGCTGCCCGTGTCGTAGAACTATTTCAGTATCTATATCTTATTCAATTCAGATAAACGAATGAAACTAGATTGCCATAATTATCGAATCTGTAATTGAATCACAAGCTATAGAATGAGAGCTCTCTTAGCTTAATTTTATTTAACCCCATATACATCAGAGTTCCCTGCTTTACTTGGCTTAATATGTCAATGGTCATGATATCGTGGACTTCTCTACATGTAATTATATCGTTAGCACGAGCAAACCACCAGACCACGACATAACCACCAGTGAAGGGGGAGTATGAGGGAGGGCTGTAACCTCCCTAATGGGGTGCAGCCACATAGTTGGGTGCTTTAGGTAGCAGTTAATGGCCTCTAATGAGCAATTAATATGAGAAACAATGTCAATGAGATAAATAGAAGGTTGGCATACTCATAAATCTCTTTGCATTTTTCAATCATTTGCTAGTATTCATTCGTAGAGGATGGGTGGGCGGGGCCATAATAAAAATGTTGTTTGTTTGCCCTCACCCGACCGACCCTGCCAAAAACGGGCGACTCAAAAAATTGTATTGATCTTTTTCTTTTTTCTTTTTACAAATTGTATCAACTGGGGTACAGTATATAAATCTGTATGCAATACATTATATGCACCAAGCAAAACGAACATTCAACATAAAAGGTATCTCCACACAAGCACACCCGAGCATGTAGACACCATGCTGAATTTGTAAAAAGACCCCTTAAAAAAAAAAGCCTACCTACCTACCCAAACTTTTCGTGGGCAGCTCTATAGACCGAAGGTTCGATAGACCGAAGGTCCGATAGACCGAAGGTCCGATAGACCGAAGGTCCGATAGACCGAAGGTCCGATAGACCGAAGGTTCGATAGACCGAAGGTCCGATAGACCGAAGGTCCGATAGACTGAATATTGCAAAGGGTTAGGGTTAGAGTTAGGGTAGGTTAGGCATATATATGGTTTAATAGTGCATCATAAATGAAATTATAGTGGCATCGTGATGTGCGCATATTCACTGTTCCGAATCACGCATCATGATTGTCCGGAGCGTAGCCTGGAGGCAGGCCAACCGATCCGGACGTTAGCCACTGCGTATCGAATAACCCTTCGGTTTAAGAACAGGCCTATCGTTTATCGAGGCTTCGGTCTATAAGGGGGCTGTAACCAACTTCTTCCAGCCTGGTCGGTGGAGGGCGCAACAAGATTTTTTTAATTGGGCCTGGATGGACAAGTGGCTCTAAATATCACCCTGATGTCAGTGCATGTACTGAATGTTTATTCTCATTCACTAAGCTTGAGTGCGTGCCTGCCGCCTAGTGATCCACTGTAGATTCTCGATTGCTTCTCGAATCGTTTGTGTTGATCTGGCAAATATTGATGTAATAATGACATGGTTAGATGTTAACATATGCATTCTTGCCTACGGTGCCTAATAGTCAGGGATTTGATTGGAGCTGTGTATTTTCTTACGTAGCCTAGCAGGCTAACTCACGTGGTGATGGGGGGGGGGATATTTAGGAAAATCTGGTAGCGGAGCTGGCAGGTAGTAACCTCGGCCACAATTAAAAAAATACTTTGTTTGCCCTGCATCAGCCGACCCAGACTGGAAATTTTTGTAAGGGGTCTTTTTAACATATTCATCATGGTGTCTACATGCTCGAGTGTACTTGTGTGGAGATACGCTTTTATTTGAATGTTGTTTGGCTTGTACATAATAATGTATGGCCCTACAGATTTATATACATGGTACACTGATACAATTTGTAAAAAGAAGAGATCAATAACAAAATTTGAGTTGTTCTTTTTTGGCGGGCCGGTCGGTTGAGACAAACAATATTTTGATTATGCCCCGCCGCTGCTTTTCAGCACATAGAATCACGTGTGTTGAGGACACATTGTGAGGTTTTGTGCTTCACTGTTGACCTTTTCATGTGAGGTGTGCACGCAATGTTCAGCTTATTATACCTAAAATCATGTGTTGTTACGTTTAAACACAGCCTAATACTTGAGATTCAAGTTGTGGCTGGCCAAGAGCTTCGTGTTGGCTGTTAGCTGGGGTTGAGGTGTTTATTAGTTAGATGAGGTCATTAGGTTCATTATATAATGCATTGTGACTGCTGCTGTCCAAAGTAGATTGAAATGGTAAAGAGTTAGAAGAGGGCAATAACTCCAGTTATTTGTCATGTTTAAGAAATACATTTATTCTCTTAGACAGGTCACTAAACAAAATGACCAGAAACTCAAAAGTTGTACGAGCCATTACGTTTGCAATTCTCATTCCACTTCAATGGCGCGGTGCGTCAGTGAAAGTAATTAAACTACATTCATTATATATCAGTAACACTACGTCTCCCTGTCCCGCTACAGTGATGATCGATTGACAAGTGCCTGTCAGCTGTCCGACTTGCCATGACAGCTGAACATCTAGTGCAGCGCAGCTAAAAGCAAATCAGCTATGGCTCATAGGTGTAAATGTCCCCCAGGGTACTGCCCCGAAGGGGGTAGGGCGTACCTGGGTACGGTCCGGTATAGCCGGAACGTACGCCTGGTCACTATTGAATATGGTTAGGGTTAAGGGTTCGGTAGTTTGGGTTAGGGAGTAGGCGTAGGCGACCCTAGACTGTTAGTGGAGGTAGGCGAGTAGGTTGCCGGCATATTAGATAGTAACAGGGTACGTTCCGGCAGTACCCGCGCGGGGAACATAGAACCGCTCTCAGCATCCACTATGCGCGTTTGAGTTTTACGTTACTCATGAGGTCATAGATCAGACTTTGTTCAAATTTGCTTTAGCGTCGACCGTGTGGTGGTATAAATTCAAGACTAATAATGTACATCTACATGTCCACAGGAGTGAGCAGGATGGTCTGTGTAAGTGTAAGCTAAACGTTGCTAATATGGAAACATATACACCGTGTTCTCACATTTCCAATGAGTTATAAATAACTGGCCATTGGTATCAATTATACAATGTGCAGTGATTTACCACAGGCGTGGGTGCACAAGGAAAGGGATGTACGTCATCAGCATGAATGCTAATTAAGGAAAGTGTAGCGCGTGAGTGTGAGTGCTAACATAAGACAGGAAAGAAAAAAGAACTCTCATCCCTGTGGATGACATGGTAGTTGTAAAGTTTACACTGGGCAGTAACAAGCCTTCTCTAAACTACTGTAGCATGTGCAAAATGAACCATAGGGAGGAGTTCAGAAGCATTCAATATACAAGACACACAACAGATAAATAAATAAATAAACATGTATAAATATATATATATATATATATATATAAATATATTCATATAACGTGCATGTAAAACACGTGTGAATATATATATTTCGACCAACGGGTAAGCAAACGAACTGTTGAGTTCTGTGCCTGAATATGGCGCTATGTCTGCTGGCAACCAGCCAGATGGTCAGTAGCGTGGCAGCTGCGCTGCTCCCCCCCTACCACCACAGACGATGCTCGCCCCCTGCTGCCTCCTCCCTCATTACAAGGCAGAGGCGGGGGCCATGTTTGTAAGGCTGGCTGCCTGCCAGAAATGCAGCAGTGCTGCGCATCGCATCGCTCTACAGCAGCTGGGAGGCATGGTTGTGGGCTGCGTATGTGCGTAGTAGTGTTTATCGGGTGTAGATATTTGTTATGTTATTGATCGACGGCAATGTTTCTCTCGCCACAGGAGCGACCAAGTGGTTTGCGAGTGTTTCTCTCTGCAAATGTTGGCTTGTTGACGTCACGGCAGGCATCGCCGCGGTACCATTCGTGCATTTCTAGTCCACCGTTTTGTTTTTTTTGTTTTTTGTGACAGCTAGAGGCAT